GATGACCAAAAATGAAGCACCTTTCTCAGAAATGTGCATACTCACATTCAGAAGAAAGGTAAATAAATCCTCAGGGTATACAGAACCAACTGTCAAAAAGCAACGCTGTACTTCATTGTATGTCTGCAACACCAAGTACAAAAATTATGATGCGGAAAAAGAAATGGAACTTAGTAGCAAGTAGAAGAAACAGAACTTGTCATAGTAATTAACATCATTAACAAAAGAAGGCCTTGCAGAGTGTAATCATACCTTCAGTCCCACAGAAAAGTCCGAATGCTCTTTGCTATCATTATTCATGCAGATGACGGGCAGGAGTGTTGATAGTATAACTGTGAGGTCCTGCAAAAGACAACATGCAATATCCATCAAGAAAAAAGGAGAATTTGCTGTTTACATAGTACATACAAAAGAATCTAGACAGAAACTAGCCGGTGTAAAGGACATTCAATAACCATGACTGCTCTATTTCTGATTTATAAAAAGTGGATATTCCCGCGCTACAATTAAATCAGTAATTAATCCACAGACCTATCACATGGACTACAAAATGGGGCAACAACCAAGCAAACAAACAACAAATGCAACAATAAGCAATGCAGGCTCATCCAATGTTAAGGTATCCGATCTAAAAGAAATAGGCATTAGGTGGAGATGTCCAACTTGAACACAAGGCCACCAACAAACCCCAAATTAAACCAAACATTGGATAACACCACTTAACACTTTCAAAAGTTCCTCCTTTTTTGAAATACAATTAGAGACTTCATCCTAATATTGATTAAATCAAAGCATTTTGAATAACATCTGAAAGTCAAGGGTGAGTAACATCCAGAAAATGTCTATACAAAAACTAGATTTCATTATTGTTGAACATTCCTTTTGGGCACTTACAAGTCTTTGTTTGGTTAGCATCTACTTTTGTCAACAAGAAAGGAAAATGAAAACTCAAGATATGGTTACAAAAATTTCTAAAGATAAGACATTCTATAGACTGTGCTGAACAAAATCATTGCTTGTAGGAGAAAGCAGAGCAATTATTTGTATAAACTATTTAACAGACATAATGAAACAATCCTCAAAGTTCTCCCACCATATCTAAGAAAAATTAAGATGTTACACTCGAGAGCACTGAAAGTTTTTGCACAAGAAAATAGTAAGCAAATACAAATTGCAATGAAAAGATACCTACATCAGTAAATACAAGTGAACCGAAACAGAAGATGATGAGGGCTTTACCTCAAAATCAAGCAAAGGAGGGCCTGTTTCTGAAAGTAAGGAAGCATTTAGGAGATTATAAAGACTATACGTAGCAATAAGTGCAATATCTTGCTCCTTTTTATACCTGATTATAAGATAAAGGAAAAGACATTATCTTGATGTCCGAATTTAAAAATTGATGAGGTTTGTCTGCTTGTAAGTATCAGCAAGTGTATGGATGCAAAACATACATGTCTAATAGCAACTCCAAAGTAGTACTTTATATAACACAGGTATACATCATATATACAGACTACAATAATGTAATTTGTATATTGAATCATTGAGGACTAAATTTTAATCTTACAACTCCAATATGGTAGGGACAAGTCTTGGTAAAGCTGCCTTTAATTGCGTGCGAGTGATAAGACCAACCATCTGACCTAATGCTTCTACAGAAGATATTCGAACCTAATTCAAATAAGAATAAAGTCAACAATGAGCAACATTAGATCCTAAAAAACAGGGCAGTACATAACAGGACATAGACCTTGTTAACAAAAAGAAATTAAAAGATATTTATTGGAGACAGATATATTTTTCATACAAAGGGATTTTGCTTAAAGAATTTTGCAGTTTTCACATATTTCTAAGTCTTTTTCTTTTTTTGGATGTGCATGGTGGGGTTAAGAAACACACAAGGGAGCGTTATTCAGTACATGGAGTTTTTTTCCAGAATCAAACAATAATAAGAACATAATAAAACAGTAATAATATCTTTAATCTTAGGTTTTTAATACACACACACATGTGCGCGCAAAAATCTTGGCTTAGCATACCTTAAGATCCCTTGAAGCAGCCCAAACTCTCAACAGGAGCTCAAAGGCAGAATTTAGAAATGACCTGCAACAAATAAAACATTTATACGTAGGCATTACATTATCAGAACATGACATAAGGCATCAGAAAAATGGTTTCAATAAAATGTGTATCTCACATGACATCACCATCGAGAGGGGAATCTGAAGGGAAATCGAGATTATATTGCCAAACAGCTTGACACCAGCACTTAAAGGCTAGGAGGGTAAACAAAGCATAACATTGTGAGTAAGCCAGCTATCAAGGCAAGAAATGCATAATCAGGTGAAACATAAACCTACAACCAAATCATCTAAGGGAAAAAAATGGGTTGCACATCAAACCCTGGGAATTTGTGTATGTCAGAAAACATGGAAACAGGAAAACCAGCATAAAAAGAGAGCAACCTAAGTTGATAAACTTTGCCAAAATAGAAAATGGTTCAGAAGAACCAACTTCTTTTACCAGCTATGCTCCCATATGGGAGCAGAGAATCTTACATGGTAAAAAATTAATTATATCTCAAACATAATGATGAAGATTCTGAAGTTCAAGCTCCATAGAAGACTTCAATCAGAATTGAAAGACATAATGAAATCTAGATACTAGCAAAGATTGAAACATAATGATGTTAACATGTTTCCTGCCCTTAAGTTACTAATTAACTTAAATTTTAAAAAAGCAGTGAGAGCACATATATTACCATTTGCAAATATTGACCTGTGGGCATCTCGTACGTTTCCAAGAAGAGGTAGAACTCGTGAAAGCACACCTTTCAATCGTGGAGTGAACTGCATAGCTTGATTGAATAAAATAGAAGTACAACAAGACTTTCGTTAAACAAAGAAATTGCAATAACCCATAGATAATTCAAGTTCAAAATAGTACAAAGAACCACAAAGGCAGGTGATTAACCATCAGCAGAAGCGAAGTCTGCAAGTATTTGAACCATAGCTGGCAAAGCTGAGCTTGGCCCTGACAAATGAAGAAATATTTCTTCTATCATCTGCCAAACCAGGAGAGGCCATGATTAATGTCTAAATACAGATAGTTTAAGCAATGAACTTGATAAGGGAAAAAAAGGACAAAAGAACAGAAGATGAGACAGAGAGCAAATAAAGAAATATTTCTCTACGTCAACAAATAAACATCATAGAACAAGAGAAAGTTTCAGAAAATTACGGTAACAGCAAAAATAAAAAATTACAAACCAATTGTAATCAACAGACTTACAAGGTCCGGCAGATGTGAGCCTATCGAAACAAGTACACTTGCCGCTGCCCTTTGCCAATCTGCATTGAGTTCCTATACAACAGTGAGCAAAAAAAGCAAATTATGAAGTGTGATCCATGAACAACTAATTGCATAAAAGAAAGCATGTGTAGAATTGGGGATTAATAACCCACCTACCAACGTGAGCTACAGTGTCAGCCAATACTAGCTAATATTTTATTTTCCTAGTCCCCTAGGAGACACCACGATGGTTGGAGCTTGAGACTTCTTGGAGGTCTCAAGTCCCAATCACTGGGAATCTTGTTGTTTAGAAAGAAAAAGTAAGAAGGGCCTATAAGTTTTTGATAAAATAAACAATAAGGAAACCTAATTCGTGGCAAATTCCTGAGCCTATAGGGGCAGTTCTAAGTATATCTTACTCACTCTAGTGTAACAAAAGAAACATATAAAAACAAGACAAATATATATATATATATATACCTTGGAGGAGATAATTTCTGCGGTAGCAATTTTGGCCAGCTTGCCCATATAAGAAGCATCAATGTCCTTTTTATCTAAAGCTCGAACTCCAAATGCCATTACTTGAAAAACTCCAGCCATATTACCAAATCTCTACAATAAGTATCCAATAATTTGAAATTTTAATCACACTCCAATTTTCTACATCTAATAAAAAAACAAAAACAAAGAAGAAAATTATTACCCTGCGGCCGCCGCGAGAAACAGCGGAGCAACAGTCAAGAACGAGAAGAGGATTCCTAAAATAGTTATCAAGTTAAAATTAGAGTAAAAAATGAATTATATAAACTAGTTTGAGAAAAAGAAAAAGAAGGTACAGTGGAGAAATGTCCTTAAGAGAAGCCATGGAGGCTTCTCTAACCATTGGAGATTCATCTGCGAGCGATGAGACGAGAACTTGAACGGCCTCTGCGTTTTTTATAAAAAGATCAAAAATTAAAACAGTTTAAAAGAAAAATAATAGTAGTAATCAAAAGGGGGAATGTTGAAATTGAATGTACCTGGAGCGGGAAGTGAGCTCCCGATGGAGCTCGAAGAAGCCATTGAATTGTGCGTTATAAATTTCAAGAGAAAAGGAAAAGAAGCATCGAAAATTCACTACAACGAGAAAGAGGGGGATGGAGAAAAAGGAAGGAGACGACGGGAAGGTGACAGGCTGGTCGTTAAAGCCACGTGTTAGCGGGATTCTACACCTTTTTTCTTAAAGGGGGAAATGGAAAATGGGTTGATTTCGTGGCATGTTCCGTTTCTGTCTTGATTTTCGCTTTTCGAATCGTTTTCTTCCTCCGATTTGGGTTTGTCGAATGCAATCAAGATTTCAGGAAAGAAAACGTTGGCGTTTTGGGGCAGACAGAAGCAAATGGGCTTGCTGATAACTGTCAAACAAAGAAAGTAGATCCGAGACGGTTACGTTGCATTGGGTTCTCTTTTTGGGCCTAATCTTAGTAGTACTATTTTGTTTTTTATTTTTTAACGTTGAGATAAAATAAATTCCAAAATATATCTGAATATTTGATTTAATGATTAATATATATCAACCATATTCCAAGAACAAGATTTGAATTTTCGTTCTCAAAATAATATATATATATATATATATTAAAAAAGAGCAAATAACATAAAATCCCAAGTCCTACCTTTCTAAGGGGTCTATGCCTCTGTAACCCTAGCCAAAAAAGAGAAGTAGAAAATTAAAAATTGCCAATATCTGAGATAATAAATAAAAATTCAAGCGCAATGAAAAGCATAAACTGATGGTCATGGAACTAATAGTTCTATACATGCATACAGGCATTGAAATATTGCACTTGTTCACATGTAAAATTAGCAAATGACGGACCTAATAAACAAAAATATTCAAACATTATTTATGGCTTAGAAGGAAGATAAACTCAAAATTGTTACATGAGTGATCAATTAGAAGGGAGATCCTATCGGAGCTGTGAGACCAAGGTACCGCATTATCTTTATCCGGCGAGCTCCTTTAGCAGATTTCGATGGAAATGTAGCATCCTACAAAAGAATGTTCTGAAACCATTAATGATAACAACTAGCTAGTAGTTTAAGACAAGTAGGCATAATTTTGAGTGGCAACTCACATCAAGGTGAATTGTAGGCTTTCGTTCCTTCTTACTACCTCCTTGTTTGACTAAATTACTACCTGTTTTGCTTGAAGTAGATGAAGTCCATTTACCTGTCCAAAATCAATCTGGGTTAAAATAACAACAAAGGGTAGTTTCTCTAGTAAATCCAATGGAAAGTGAAAGCATTAAAGGGTTAAAGCATAATCTAGAAGCATAAAAAAAAATGCTCTTTCCCAGAAATTAAATAGATTTCCAGAGTAATAAGAAGGCAGAAAATGCAACCAGTATTTGTTTGTGGGGAAAGGTAGGGAGCGAAGCCCTGCAATTTTGTGAGAATTGGGTGCATTGAATCCCCGCAAGCACTTAACAGCCTGATCCTCTTACCATCAAACTAATGCAGCCAGCTATTGAACCTGTGTTTCTCAAGAAGACTCTAGCTACAGTTGAAGAATAGCAGTTCTTGGATAAAAGCCAAGACACGCTTGCAAGAACCTCTATGAACCTTTCTGAAAATGGTATTAAGTTTTATTAGCCTTTCAAAAAATATCTGCTGGTTAAACCATGATCCTGGGAAGGAATTGGACACCCCTACGTGCCTAATGCAAGCCTACAAGACAAAGAACTTAAACTGCACCTAGAATATGAATCAGATTCAGAGGCATCAGGCATGGAGAGGATGGTGTATATTATGGAAGCTACAATTGTGGCACGTAACACCTGTTAATATTTCAATCTTTTGATATGCAACATTTATAGGAATAATAAGAATAAAGCAATGTTGAACAATCTGATGCTGTCCTCAACTTTTGAATTCTGTATCTTCCTGAGTTCCACTTATTGACTTTGCAGGTTTGCAAGTGTTGTTCAAGGTTAATAGTGTAACATAGAGACAAATGCAACACATACCCGATTTTCGGTCTTGCTGATCGGAGTGAGTGGAAGAATCATGGCTTCTAGGCAACTGCCTACATGATTTTATATGTTCCTTCCTCTGTACTAATGCCTGCAAATAGGCCAGAGTTCAGTTCCAAAAGATGAAAATTGTACAGCGAAAATGAATTGCATATTTCACTGAAATCATCAAATACTTGTTTCAAAGCATCTTGAAAATTTTCCATTGGATTGCAGCTCCTTTCTTCAAAGCACTGACAAAAATTAAAGATATTGCGTAGATTCTTAGGCAGAGACTTTAAAGTAGACATCATTTAAGCTACTTATTCATATGTTGAACTAAACTTGCTTAGTTAAAGATACATTAAGTTCTCATAGATTTATATCACAAAACCATTTTTTCATCCAATCATTTTCTGTTCTTGTTATCACAACCACCACCAAATTTCCAATCACATTGCACAAACCATGAGGGAACTATCATCATTCCCCTCCAATGCCTCCTAAATACTTCAAATGAATATCACAAAGTGGTATGAAAGAAAAAGAAAAAGAAGAGAAGCAAACTCTTTTTATAGCAAGTTTTAAGGAATAGCATTTATTACGATTTTATCAATATGTGATGATTTGGCATAGCTAGACAAAGCCTATACTTACATCCTCAAGCATTGAAAGATCTCTTGCTGCATTAACCCAAGCACTGAAAAGCAATTAGCTAATATTTAAGATCGTGTAATTGAGATACCTGGCGGAACAACAAATTTTTCACAGTTCTGACAGAAGCAACATTAACTTACAATTGGGAACTCTACCTGTTATGTTTCCCATAAAACTTAACTAAAACATGTTCCTCATTGTGTTGGATTCTTGAATCAGCTAAAATTGATCTTTGGCCAATGATCTGTAAATGTCAAATAAGAACTTTTAAGTATTTGTAAATAATGAAAAGGAACTATTTGCTCCATGTGCAAAAGGTTCAATAATACTCCTCTTCAAGTGAGCTCATATCAGAACAGAACAAGAAGTTTTGAGTCAAAAGGGAAATTATCAAAAGGAGACACTAAAAGAAGTTCTTCTCATGCCTTGAAAAGTTACAGGTGTCAGTCAAAGATCTAAATCTGCTTATATCTGCTGTACTTTTGTCATATACAAAGTTATAAAATTAGGTATAGAATTCACCTCTAACAAAAAAGCTTTGTTTCATTTGGCAACTTAGCTGATTTAATAGTATGCAAATATGAGATAGCCCAAAATGAGCTAGAGAGAAGGAATGAAGGACATGCAGATTGACAGCCAGAAAGTAAAAAATAAAAAAAAATGAAAGAATAAAGGGCAAGTTCTCTAATAAATAAACTGTATTCGCAGGATTCTACAACTTCTGGCACATGAACACTGACTGTATAAAACACAAAAAGATCACCCTCATATTGTGAATCAACATGAAAGTAGCAGGAACATACTTCAGCAGGCCACCACACTTGGCAAGCAGTTTTGGCCCATACGACATTTCCTGGAGTTATGCAGACACCATTGCTTCGTGTAACTTTTAATTTCTTCTTATCACTTTCTTGTTCCACAACTTTCCTACTTGAGAAATAAAAAGAAAATGAAATTTCCTAAGTAAACAAAACATAAAACAAGACAGCAACTTTCAGAAACTGCCCACAGCATTATACATACTGGACAATTCTACCACTGCACGGTTCACTAACTTTATTTAGAGCAACTGATTCTACCACTGGAAATTCATAGAAATTCAACTCAAATCCTGGTCTTTTACCCCAGGACTTCTTGCAATAAACTGAGTCATGCAACTTTTTCCTTCCATCTTTTTTGTCATCGAAACTAGTTAAGGTTACACTGGAAGCTTCATCTCCATCATAGGAGCACTCTGGTAAGGAACCTGTACCAAAATTGCCAAAATTTAAGGTACAGTTCTCCATAAAAAGAAACTGAAGCTAAAGGCCTTAATTTATTGATATAACAATCTATTTATCTGAGCACTAGAACTTCAGCAGAAACTGATAGGAAAAGTCATACAATTACAAGTTACAACCTACCTAAAAGAATTCCAGAAAGTCTTAACTTCACAGAATTTATTCTTATTAAGTTCTTTTACATAATTATCCATGTAATTAACAACATCCCCGACCCTCCATGGATGGGTTGCCAATGCTCAAAAACAAAATCCATACAATTAATAACATGATGCAAAGAGAACAAGAGCGATCTACATAATTATTCCGTAATTAATGCACTAAAAGCCTGCAACCTTCCACCTTTCTCCTGAAATTGTATCCAAGATATCCATTTGGGATCATTGTGCAATGCAACAATTACCCATCAATTATTTGACACAAGCAAACTTCAATCTTTACGGAAAAATCCTTTGATTTTAAGCAAGGCAAAATTTTTCTTCTTCAAGTAACTTAAAAGTTTGTGACTCCGGTAACAATAAAGCTAGCCAATACCAAAAAAAAATAATGGACAATGAAAACTGATAGAATTTGCTTAGAGAGAGAGAGAGAGATTATAAGACCTGGAGTGGATGGGGAAGCAGGGGAAGAAGAAGAAGAGCGTTTAGCCTTAGGAGCAGCCTTTCTGGACAGCTTAGTAAACTGAGGAAAATTATCAATTTGGTTTAATTCCTTTATCTTTTGCTTCTTCTTCCCTGGTTCTTTCTTCTTTGTCATTGGTGTCAACCGAGGCAGAGCATGTATGTTAAGAAATGAGGAAAAGGTTTAGAGGAACCCTAGAAAAAAAAGAGGATATCAGCTTATCTGATCCGTGGAGAGTATTGAATTAGGCATTTCCAACGTGAGAATTTCGGCTGAAATGGTCCACGTTTCTTGTCTTTCGTTTTCCTTTTTTTCTTTTCTTTTCCTTTGTA